ACCCTGGCCAGCACTCAAACTTGAACGCACTCAGGCGCGGGAGGTCGGCCACCGTGGCGGCGAGCGAATCGGCCGTCACCGGCGGCAGCGGACGCGCCTTGATGTGCAGGCTTTCGAGATGCGAGAGCGACGCAATGGACGTGACGACGTCGACGAGGTCCGTCTCGAGACGCAGTGCGAGGTGCGTGAGCTGCGCGCCGAGCAGCGCTGACGCGAGCCGTCGGGCGTATGGCAGGCGTCGGCTCGTCAGCGTCAATCATCGCAGATGCGCCGGCAGCGGCGCGTCACAGTACACGCTGGCCATGTGCTCGGTTTCGGAAAACGTGACCGACTGCACGGACGGGGCCGCGTGGAGTGCGCGCGCCAACGCCGTCGTGCCCCGGAGGTTGCCGAAGCCGACGTCGATGGCGCGGTGCCGGCCAAGCCAGCGCAAGAGTTGCTGCAGCACAAAAGGCGGACACGTGTCGAGCCAAAAGACGTCCAAGTGCAGCGACGTGAGCGTCTTGAGGCTGCAAATGGCCCGCACCAGCGCTTCCGTGGCGGGCGTCGCAACCGCGCTGTCGAACGACAGGAGCAGCCGCCGGAGCTGCGGCGCCGACCGTATCCAAGCGGCCACCGCCTCGAGGTGCGCCTCCTTGTCGCCGCGGCGAATGTGGAGCGCGCAGGCTGTGAGCTGGCGGCCGTGCCAGGCAGACGCAATCGCGATCGGAACGGGCATTGCGACAGACACCGTCATCGGCAGGTGCGAGAGGATCGAAATGTGCTCGGCGCGCGGCCACACGTCAAGGCGAAGCACGTGCACACGCTTGAGCCAGACCATGCCGAGGACGAACGCATCGGCTTCGGCCGCGACCGCCGCGTACGAGAGCTCGGGCCAGAGACGCGCGACGGGCACCGTGGTTGCGAGCCGGCGCAAGCACTGGAAGGGCCGCGAGAGCGCTTGCAGAGGCAGCAGCTCGAGCAGCGCGAGGAGTGTGAACGGGCAGGACACGTAGCCCGCGATGAGCTCGAGGACGTCGGCGGACGCCATTTGCACTTGTGGCCTTGCAGTTGCGTGTAATCAAAAGTTGTGCGACACGCTGATTGGCTGTGACAACATTCGCTCGCCTCGTTTGATAGCCCTTTCGTATATTAGCAGACGTGATCGTTTCCCCAAAGATGCATATTTATATATCCTAGCCTCCTCCTAGCAGCTCCATGCTATTTGCCCTACTCTACCGGCTGCTGACCGACAACGAGATGCGTTGGCATCCCATGTGACTTCGGGAGCCGACGCTTTGAATCTGACGAAGCCGTCACAAGAACTGTACAAGTAGGTGCATTTTGAGTTGATTATACCTTGAACTCTACGCTGTGCTATGTTGCAATCGTCATTTTGCTTGTCAAATGGAGCAACCAGTCCAGCAATTTCCGGCGACTTTGAAAAATTGCATGTCGCTGGAGGTGCGATCCTGTTTCAACAGGTTCGCCTACGAGCGCAGCTTGGCCACAAGGTCGAGGACAGCTTGGAGGTTGTACATCGTCGTCTTGAAGCGCTCGCCCAGATCGTAGTCCCCCACCGTAACGAGGCGGTACCGCAGTGCGCGCAGCTCCTTGTTTGTGAGCTTGTACTCAGCGATCGCGTCCATGTGGCTGATTTCGTTGAACATCGGGAGTTCAAAGCAGCTATCGCAGAGTCTCTTGCCGCGGTGCTTGGTGTGCACCTTGATAATGCGACACCCGTCGGCCATGAAGCGGTCGCAGTGCTCGCAGCTCTTCTTCTGCGCGAGGTTGACGACCATCTTGCGCGTCTGCGTGCGCGGCTTGAGCAGCGACGGCTGGACCTGGAGCTGGTGCAGAAGCATGGCGCGCCAGACGCGGTCGTCCATCGCACGATCAAGCACGAGGCTGGTGCTCGCAAGGCGCAGCGCTTCGTTGGGCTGGAGAAACGAAAGCAGGTGGAGGAAGACGTCGCGACTGAGCGCTTCGATCGGAGCGATCGCGGCGACCTTGGCGCGCTTCGCCGTCGGCGCCGTCGTGCGGCGCTTGGTGCGGGCGACCATTGCAATGCGAGACTGGCCCATCAAATTACATACCGACAAAGGTCAAAATAGACCATCATTGGAGAGACCAACCATCATTTGGGATCCAATTGGAGGCGACGCCGTCATCATGCCGCACAGTGGTACAAGCTGTTGCGGCCAGAATACGTCCCGCAGTTTTGAAGTTACAGAATCGCTATGTCTCCCCTCATTGGTCTCCCTGATGTCTCCATCACGAAAAGCGACTGTTGTGGCTCTGGTTGTGGCTACTGCTCATGACCTCTACGCTACACGTGCTTGCAGTTCAATCTGGAGCTCAAATACACCGCCTCTAAAATCGGTCTAGGTTTAGCTTCTTGTAGCACGTCTAATTCCTGGTCTAATTCACTTACTCTTCATTGCGACGTCTCTTGAGCACCTGTTTTCCACCGCCCTCGGTGCACAGACGAAGCAGGTCTCAACAGCGACGACTCTTCTCATCAACAAGGTGCGGCGCTGCAAGCTTGGTTCTGCAGGTTTTGCGATTTGTGATAATGTAGTGAGCCAAGCCACAACATCAGCGATGCATCTTCGATTCGACGAGAAGGTCACTTGGTTTGAGGAATGTCCCACATCGAGCGGTCTCCAAGCTTCACAACTGCTCCCATTGCATCTTTAGCTGCTTTCATGTTGGCTTGCATTCCATGTCTCTCTTTTTACGTAGCTGATGACGACCGCCGTCTCGCCGCGAGGTCGAGGACAGCTTGGAGGTTGTACATTCTCTTTCGGTAGAGCTCGCCCATTTCATAGTCGCCGGTCGTCACGACCCGGTACCGTAGCTCGCGCAGCTCCACGTAGGTAACGACCGTGTCCATGTGGCTGATCTCCTTGAACCTCGGGAGCTCAAAGCACGTGGGACAAAGCTTCTTGCCGCGGTGCTCCGTGTGGACCTTGATCGCTCGGCACCCGTCAACTTCAAAGCGATCACAGTGGGCGCAACTCTTCTTGTGCGAGAGCGTTGCGACCATCTCGCGCGTCTGCGTGCGCGGCTTGAGCAGCGACGGCTTGACGCCGCACCGGTGCAGGAGCATGGCGCGCCACATGCTGTCGTCCATCGCCTCGTGAACCGTCCTGCTCGTACGCGAGAGCCGGAGCGCCTCCATGGGCTCGAGGAACGCCGAGAGGTGGAGGAAACCATTTGGTCCTAACGCGTCGATGGCCGCCGTGGCCACCGCTTTGGCGCGCTTTTGATTTTGGTTCGGTCGTTCCAGGGTTCTACGACCGACCATGGCAATTGGAAAATGCTACCACAATCTTCATTGACATGTGGGGACGTTAGACCATCAGCGTTGGCGTCGGGGCGACCATCACTCAGCATCCCAGATCTTCAGGATCTGTCGTCTGACAACCCAAAATCTTTCCCTGTCTCTCGCTCCAAACCTCTCTGCCTGTAGTAGTTTTTATATCGCTACAGTATCTCTTCCCCTGGCATTTCGATCTTTGGATCGACCCCTGAATGGGCAATGTTGCTTGGCGGGAGCATGCAACGCCCTCACGATGCTGATTGGTTCAAATCGTGTAAATCATTCACGTCCGGCCAATCATCGCCGTGCATGATAGTACCCGGTAGTTGTTCCCGCGCTTTCCACCGCAATCTCGGACCTGCGACTGTATAACGAAGAAATCCGCGTCTCTCATACAGCTCGAGTCCAGCATGCTACCGATTCAATGGATAGGATAGGATAGGATAAAAAGACGCCGCTCATATATCCATCCAGCCTGCTGCGTGCAGATGCCAGTAATCTCATTGTCGGGACAGATTTTATCCCAGTGTCTTGGTCGGTGGAAGAGCTAGCCGTCCGGCTTGGCCGTATCTCTCTTCGCTGGTCGTCTACCTAGAGGTGCAGTAGATGGCTTCTACCATGCAGAGAGCTCGCGAATGGCGTCGGCGATCCTCTGTCGATCTCGACTCACACATGAAGGACTCGTGTTGTCTGGCTTACCACGCAACATGCAGACGCATGGGAACAAGAAAATGGAGGCTACGGGCGCACTCGCGCGAGGAGGTCCAAGACGGCCTGATGGTTGTACATCTTGGTCTTGAAGCCCTCGCCCCGCGCAATGTCAAAGGTCGTCGCGACGAGCCGGCAGGGAAGCTCATGCAGCTCCTTGTGCTTGAGCTGGTACTTGCGCATCGCCTCCATGTGGCCGATCTCGGTGAACATCGGGAGTCGCACGCAGCGGTTGCAGAGCTTCTTGCCGCGATGCACCGTGTAGACCTTGATCGTATGGCACCCGTCGGGCTCAAAGCGGTCGCAGAGGACGCAGCTCTTCTTCTGCGCGAGGTTCACGACCATCTTGCGCGTCTGCGTGCGGGGCTTGAGCAGCGACGGCTTGACCTCGCACGTCCCCAAGAGCATCGGCCGCCACACGCTGTCGTCCATCGCGTCGTGCATGAGCATGCTCGTCATCGAGAGCCGCAGGGCTTCCTTGGGCTCCATGTAGGTCGTCAGCTGAAGGAGCGCGTCTCGACCCACATCTCCATCGGCGCGATCGTCGTCTTGGCGCGCTTGGCCGATGGCTTCGTCTTGGCCCGCTTCGTCGGGCCGCTCATTGTTGCGATCGAGAAATGGGGCAAACCGCCGACGTCCAGCTGGGACATTGGGGTAAATGACCATCACTCCGACTTTGCGCCAACTGCAAGTGGTGCATATCCTTACCTGCTTAAATTATACGACCATACACATCCACGCTACTACAAACAGTCATAGTGGTTGCTGCCGTCGCCGTGGACGCCATGGATGCTGCGACCAGGGTCCCCCAAGTGGCAAGCGACGGCATCGTCGAGGCAGCACAAGTCGACCTTGCTCGCGAGCGCCCGACCGTCGCACTCCAACTTGCTCCCGCGGACGCACACGAACCGGAGCGTCGGCGAGACGGGCCAGTCGCAGACGTCGGCCGCCGACCAGTAGACGTTGCGCAGCGCGAGGCGGTGCAGGGCCGTGCACTGCAGCAGCACAGGCGCGAGCCAGCCGGGAAGGTAGTGCGGCGTCGAGCCAAAGCACGTGAGCGAGAGCGTCTCCAGCGTCGGCGCAACCGCTACGAGCGCCGCCGCCAGCGCCGCTTTCGATCGCAGACCCATGCTGATGTACGTGAGCTCGATGCTCCGCACCTGCGGGAGGGTGCCGAGGCCGTAGAGCACCTTGGCCATCGTCTTGTCGTACGTCGGTCCGAGCTGCCGCGTCCGGTTCACGAGCGCAATGTGCGTGAGATGGCTGCCGCGAATGGCCTGCACAAAGTCGTCGCCCGTTCGGATGCGGGAGATGTTGAGGCTGAGGCGCCGAAGCGTGCGAGGCAGCGGCGCCTGGAAGAGCGCGGTCGCGACGTCGTCCATAAAGGCCAAGCTGAGCTCGCGCAGAGAGCTGCATGCGCGCAACGCCGAGACGAGCATCGATACCATCTCGGCGTCCGGCACGTGCAGCGCCGTGAGCCGCAGCGCGCGTGGACGCGGACTCTCTCGCAGCCACGTTCCTAGCCACGTGTAGAGCGCTTCGCTAAAGCGATCGTCCGTGTCGTTGGCGACATCCAGCTCCACGACGCGCGACGCGGCGACGGCGGCCAGCAAGCGCGCGAGGCCCTCGGCGTTGGTCACGTCGGCTTCGTGGCGCACCTGCAGATGCCGGAGCGCGGGCGCGGTTTCGAGCCAGGCTGCGACGCTTTCGAACTGGTCGATCGTGTCGAACGACTGCAGCGTGAGTGCGCAGGCGAGGAGGCGGCGGCCGTGCCAGGACGCAGCGCTCTGCATCGAGGCCGGCGCCGAGACGGCGAATGGCAGCGTCGGGTACGTGCACAGCCACGGGAGAAGCGGCGACCGCCACGTATCAATGTCGAGCACGCCAATCTCGGGAAGCGACGCACAGGCCAAAGCCGCGAGGTCGGTGCGTGCGAGAGACGACGTGGGCATGCGCGGCCAGAGCTGGCTGGGCGGCAGGTGGCGCGCGAGGGCGAGGTAGCCCTGGAGGCCGCTGGAAAGCCCATCGAGAGGCAGGAGCTGGAGGAAGGCGTGCGCTGCGTACGGGCACGGGACGAAGCCGATGATGGCCTCGACGAGGTCCGGCAGTGCGAGTACGACCGCCAGCGACATTGCTCGTTTGGCTGAATCTGGGAGTTTTGGCCAATGGCAAGCTCCGAGACCTCCGATTGGTGGATACTCAAATCTCAGTATATCTGATGTTTGTATGCGACCGAATCTTGCGTTTGATTAGCGTGGCGCCAAAGACACACTTGGCCACGCCACGTCTGTGCCCCGAGCTACTCCTTCGGATCTGGCGTCGCAGACGTGCCCAGTATATTTGAATTGTGCGCTGTCCGCTGTCCGCAGACCATTTCTGACGCCACTACTGTACACTGTCGCGCGTTGGCGTTGGCTTATTCGCTCGTAGCCGGCAAGCGAGCGAGGACTACGCCCAGAGCGACATTGGACCTCCACTCGAAGCTCCTGTGAGCCGTACGACAAGAGCGCTCGTCGCATGTCTACATGGCGCGAGGGTATGTGCCAAAACAGCGAGATTTGTTAAAAACGCCAGCTGCAACAGCCGGCTATCTAAACCGGCTACACAATCCGGTTTTTTCAATATCAGGCCATAACCGGTTTTACAAAATTTAGTCGGCTAGTTCGGGTACAGCCGATAACCAATTGCTGAACCGTTATGCAGCCGGCTATACAACAAATCGGTTAAATGATGCTACTAGTACAGAAATCACCGGCTTCCGAAGCTGGCTGTGTCGAAACCTGAAGCTACTCGAGGCATGACAAGATGTCCACTGGAAATGTTACAAACTATAGGAATCAACTAGAACTCAGAGGGTATTATCGTCCAGAGCCCCGTCCCAAGGCAGTAGGTCGTCGTCTGCAAAGATGCAGCTGCCTTTCTCGCCGTTGGCGCAGCAGACGCGGATGCCAGAGTCGGGGCCCGGGCCGTCGCTGCCTCGAAGACACATGAAGCGCAAGGAGGCGCAGCCTTGCCACATGGCCGGGCATGTCACCGTGACGTTGCGCAGGGCAACGCGGTGCAGTCGGCGGCAGCGCGGCGCAACGTCGACGAGCAGTCGCTCGAGCGTGCTTCGGCCGCCGCCCCACGCAATGCTTTTGAGCTGCAGCGCCTCGAGCGCGCGAACCTGCGGCAGCACAGCCGTTAGCGCCGCGGCCGACTCGGGCCCGAGGCTCAGGAACGTCAAGCTCACGTGCGAGAGGCGCGGCAACGTCGGCAGCACGCGCAGCACCTGCGCCATCTTCGTATCGTGCTCGGGCGACATCGGGTGCTTGCGGTCAAGCGTCAAGTGCGTCAGCTGCGCATGCGCCAGCGCCGCGATGAGCTGGTCCGTGTAACCGGCGTGCCGCAGGAGCGAGCTCGAGTGGAGCACGAGGTGCCGCAAGGTCCGTGGCAGCGGCTCCTCCCAGAACGTCGTCGCGAACCCGAGCATCGAGTGGAGCTCGAGCGCTCGGAGCGAAGGGCACTTGCGCAGCGCTGTCGAGAGCGCGGTTTCGGTCGCCCGCTGGGGGAGCCCGAGGCTCGTGAGCCGCACGCGCACCAGCTGCGCCGTCGCCAGAAGCGACTGGAGCGCGGAGACAAAGGCAGCCGTGTAGCGCGCGTCGCCGCCATCGTTGTGCAGCGCGAGCTCCTCAAGGGAGCGGGACGCACCGATCGCGTCGACCAAGGCGCGGCAGCCGTCGCGGGCAAAGTTGACCGACGAGATGCGCAGCGAGAGCGAGCGCAGCTGCGGCGCCGTCTCGAGCCACGACGCGACGCGCAGCATGTCGGCTTCCGTGTCCGCGCTGGAGAGCGTGAGCGCGCAGGCGACGAGGCGGTGGCCGCTCCACGACGCTGCGGTCGTCATCGTCGTGTACGCGTCCACCATAATGGGCGTCGTCGCCGGCAGCTTGGCGACGTCCGCGGTCGACGATGCCCGAGCGATCGGCGTTAGCTGGAGCAAGCGCGCTTGCGAGCCCGGCAGCAGCACGTGTGCGTGGACGTGCGGCCAGAGATGCGTCGGTGGCGTCGTTGCTTGCAGTGCAAGGTACGTCTGGAACGGCGCCGAGAGCGCAGTCGCCGGTACCATGTGCAGCAGCGCCGAGAGCGAGAACGGGCATCGGACGAACTCGGCGATCTTGAGTACGAGCTCGGGCGCGTCCAAAACGACGGCCAGATGTTGGGCCATGCGTCGTGGCGTCGTGACGTCGCGTGGCTTCCGGCGCGTCAGCGACACGAGGGCCGGGAATGGCGGCTCAGAGACGCCATGGGCTACTGGTACCTGGCTGGAGGAGAAGAGCGCTTGGAGGCAGCAGCAAGCGACGAACGTCACGATGGCTGCCAGCCACATGGGCTCCTGCTGGCAGATCGCAATAGCCAGCGAAAGCTGCGCCATTGATTGGCTGAAATTCGGGGTCGGAACATGGGTACCAGGATCCAGGATCAAATATCATCTTTTGGAGTTCTGGCTGTTGAAATGCGTTTTGCGGATATAGAGCCTTGCTCAGAGGGACGAGGTGGATAGATCCACACCGAAAACTTGTCCCGCGAATCGTGCTCCTGCCTCCGCCTGCCTAGACCAACTTCCTCAACCGAGTGTACAATCCGAAGCAAGTCCAACAATTTTATTTAGCGTAGTTTATCTATTTTAATAGAAGACCCACTTCAACAACAACGAGGTGGATAGATAGATAGATAGATAGATAGATAGATAGATAGATAGATAGATAGCCACTTCAAAGATGGAGAAACAGAGGCCCTAGATCGTGGAAGCGTTCAGCCCATTTGCTTTGGACAAGCAGAGGGCGTAGTGGAAACCCGTGCCAACGCCACCTTTTATCCTTCCTCCTGGCATGTTTAAAACGTTTAAAACGATTTGCATCACCAAGCAAGGTGCTAGGTGCTACGGAGGCTGGACAAGAGCCAACACTAACATCGAGCTACTAGCATTTTTACGTGCGAAGCGGTGGCTCTTGTACGGTCGCAAAGGCTGTTTCTACTGCGATGAGCGACGTGAAGGTGCGTTGCCATCGACGTTGCGATGGGTACAAATCTGGGCCTCACTTGTAACCAAACACATGTGATCGACTCGTCTGATTTGCCCACGAAAACTTATTTCTAGAAACGTCTTCGGAGAAACGAGAGGCTCCATGCGAGGAGTGAATTGCACATGGATATATGGCCACTGAAGGCCACCTCCACTGCGGCAGATAGAAGAGACAACGCGCCCTCGCACCTTTGTGTTGCAAACCAGTGGTCGAAGATCTGGTGCCACGTCAAGGCTGCGTACGAACGTCGAGAAGGATGGCAATTTCTACCCATTTCGTTCGTTCGAGAGTCTGATTTGGATCTGTTCTCAGATGTAGAATCGTCGATTGTACTGGAGAGAGACGCGTGCATCTGAGCACAAAAGGGATCGCTCACAACTCAATTTCCTTCCAGCATGCAAGCCTCCCGCGTCCTCCTCGCGATTGCCGCCGTCCTCGCCGTCGCCGTCTCTGGTGCCAACGCCAACGAAGAGAAGGCCGCCCTTCGCGGCGCGTCGCCCGACGACGTCGAGACCGACGGCGTCGGGACCGAAAGACTTTGTGGCGACTGCATCCGCCACTGGCGCCCGTGCTGCGCCAACCACCAGTGGTCGAACTAATACTTCTTGTGATGTACGTTAATCGAGATGATCCATTTCACCAAAACACATGTTTACGGTCTACAGGTTCCTATTATAATAATAACTCGACTTTTCGATTGGGCTGAGCCGCTACACTTTTGACGCCGCCGCTGCGCTGGATGTATTCACAATCGCCTCGTGTCCTGGATATTCACTTTCATTTCCATGATTTCCACGTGAAAGCTGGGAGTGGTGGATCTAAACCTCTGAACCGCGGCCAAACGCTTCAACTCTAGCGATTCATTTAAAGAGTTTTTGACGACTCGGAGCCGGTCCAACCGCTGCAACGCTCGCCAAGATGGCGTCCCAACGGCCATCTCGCGCGCCATCTCGGAGAATTTAATTGCACTGTTACTTTTCGCGCACACAATGCAGCTGCACCGCCTCGGTCTCGGCCTCAGCCTTCTGCTCGTGTCGGCGGGCGCCTGCTCGTGGGAAGCCACGACGCGCCATGTGGCCAGCAACGTTTCGTTCGAGTGCCCCAATGTGGCGCCTGGGATGCACTTGACGCCGACGCGCGCCGGCGAGCCGATGGTGTGGTCCGAGGCAGGCGACGCGTTCGAGATGCGCTTGCTCAACGCTGCGGGTGTCGCCGTCGACGCCCCGACGCACCCGGGCGACTACACGGTGGTTCTGGCCTGCCAGCGCTCGTTGAATTGTAGCTTGTCGTGGGGTCTGCAGTGGTCGCCGTCGACGCGCGCGCTGTCGACGTGCCCGATTCCCGGCGTCTACAAGGAGGGTGCCATGGGCTTTCGCCTCGAGCTCACGAGCGCTGGAGCGTTCGCGCTAACCGCGCCGATTTCCAGCACGACGTGCTCGGTGACGGGCCAGTACACCGAGTCGGACCAGACGATCACCCTCACGGTCGCAACGGCATCGCCCGAGTGCGGCAGTCTCATCGCACCCAAGATGCAAGTCTCAACCTTTATCGCCTTCGCGAGCGACTGCCAGAAAGTCACGATCCAATTCGCAGGCTCCTTCATGTCACTTCAGCGGTCCAGTGCATCGAGCCTACCTCTTAGTGCGCTGCTGATGGCTCTGGCGATGGCGATGCTTCACTAACATCAATGTAGTAATATGTTTGAAGCATATTCCGTTGTCGTGCTTTCAGACACCATCGGCGGATGCAGCTCGGCGCCAAGGAGTCCCGGGCTAGCCACCTGCCACGCGAGCAGCCGAGGCACCTCCTCGGACGCTCCCAGCCCGAGAGACGCTGCCACGACCCAGCTACCCGACGTCAAAAGCGCACGTGATACGTGACCAAAAGGAGGCAAACCGACTTCATTTCAAAAATGCTACAAAACTAACTACTTAGGCGACCGTCTTGGCGTCGACCTTGCGGTGGTAGTTGATGATCACGACCTTGTAGCAGCCGGCACCGAGGGCGCCGCCGACCAACGGCGCAATGAGCGGGATCCAGAAGTAGTAGTTGGCGCCCGTAAAGACCTCGGGGCCCCAGCCAGCGAGGTACGTGAAGAGGCGCGGGGCAAAGTCGCGGGCCGGGTTGAGCGCAAAGCCGGTGGGCATGCCGAAGCTGAAGCCAATGGCCGTGATCGCCGCGCCGACAGTGATCGGCTTGAGCACGGGCGACGTCGGCATGTTGCGCGGGTCTTCGACGCTCATGATGGTGAGGAGGAGCATGGCCGTGCCCAGCATCTCGGTCACGAACGCGCTCAAATGGTGCTCGTACGACTGCGGGTAGGTGGCGAAGATGCCGCCCGTCTTGTTCCACGTGCGGCCGGCGTCGTGGAAGTCGAGCGACGGGAGGTAGATGACGTACACGAAGAGCGCGCCGAGGAAGGCGCCGACCATCTGCGAGACGACGTAGAAGGGCAGCTTGCGCCACGGCATGAGCCCGTGCACGCAGAGCGCGAAGGAGACCGCGGGGTTGATGTGGCCGCCCGAGATGCCGCCGGACGCGTGGATGCCAAAGGTGACGCCGAGGCCGCACCCGATGCAGATCTGCGTCCAGTCGCCGAACGCGCCGTCGCCGAGCTTGACCTGCGCGATGACGCCGTTGATGAAGGCCATGAGCACGAACGTGCCGAGGAGCTCGGCGAGGCACTCGTGGCGCAGCTGGTAGTGCGTCTCGTACCACGACCGGGTGTCGGGCAGCGAGCCGTCTTCGAGAGTCGCGATGGACTCGTACTTGGACTTGTCGACCGTCAGCGGCGCGTGTTCAGCCATTGTTGTCGGCGGAGGCAAAAGAGGAAATGAGCACAGCGGCCGTCAATGAAAGTGCTTCAGAGTACGGTACGACGCGGTGGTGGCGCGTCGAGGGTGGCACCCAGTGGGACAGGCCAAGCGGGTGCACCGAACGCGCACCCATGACCCACAAAGCGCGTTTTTTCCTGCCCAGGACCAGTGAATCTCGCGTTGGCCGTCGTATCGACCGATCGCACACCGCTTGCGCCGGTGGTGTAGGGATGGACGGACGCGCGGGGTGCATCGCCGCCCATCGTCCGCGATGCCCGGGGCACGGGAGGATCGATCCCGGGGCGCCAGCTGTTTTCGTCTGCGACATGTGCGAATCTCGGCGACCCGCCACGTCCGTGTCGCTAGATCGCTGCAGACCGTAGACAGCGCGTGCGAAAAGGGCGCAGGTGGCATCGCGGAAGGCGGCGTCGGTGTCTCTGTGCACGGTGTGTGGCCATCCAATCTCTCGGCCAATTGACGCCCGTCGAGGACTTGGAGGAAGAGGATCGACGTCGACAGCCTCTGGATACCGTGTAGTATATCAACGAGAGGAAGACCATTGGAGATTGGAGTGCCTCTGGATACCGTAGTATATCAACTTGAGGAAGACCATTCGAGTGACTGCAGTGCACAAATTCAGCCGCTGCGCCCGATTCGTTGAGGAAGTGCGCGGGGATTGCGGCCCATTGACTGGCGCGGCTACTCCCCTACCGTGTACTAGAACAATGACGACGCGGCCGCTCCTTGATAGAGGATGCAGTCGTCAGTACGCACTGGCACCATCAAGGTCGGACGCATTCTCGGGCTCGTTCGGGCGTCGTGGCTTGTGCAAATACATGTAGAGGAGGAGCCGCGTCGACCCTTCCTCGATGCGCGCATCCTTCCTCCCCAAGCACATCTCTTGCCTGATATGGACTGCAGCGCAATTGCCGTTGAAGTTCAAGAACGAAGACCGATCATTTTGCTTCGGGGGATTGTGGCGGAATTTTTAGCTGGTCAGTAGCAGCCAGAGTACCTAAAAGATGAAGAAGCTGCCGGTCGTCGTGGCGCCGGAAGCAACGAGGGACTGAGCGAACGTCTGCGTGTCTCTCTCGCCTGAAGGATTATCCTGGATAGTGGAAAGCTCTCGTCGGTGCTGGATTGTGTACCGTACACACGTTCTCGTCCGTCCTTGATTGAGCTCGCCGGGCACTAGATACTCGTACAGTGTACCAGAGTACTACGGTGTCCTGGGGCAGGTCGCCATGACGTGGCACGTCCTGCGGTTTCCAACATCGCAATCGTTTCAAACACTTTCGGATGCGTCATGGACGTGCCAGCGCCAGCGTGAGCTCCGAGGTAAGCGCGTCAAGTCGGTGGTCGTGTGGCAGCTGCGCAGAGATCTGAACGTAGAGCTTCACAGGCAGCCATTCGCGCCTTTGGCACGCGCCTTTGGCACGCGCCGCCAGCTTTCGTGTCGCGGGACAAATCTGACGCTACCGTTCTCATAGCTTAAGAGCTGGTGCAGCGGCATGGAGCTCATGACGTGGTGTGAAAGCGATCCGACCCCATTGCCTGTCTTGATGGCCTTGATGGGCCAACTCCTCTTGGCAAAGACGTAGGTAGCACAAGAGTACATGAATAACTATTGAATTGATGTACCCTTGGGTAGCATCACTAGCGTCGCGGGCTTTATCCAGTCGAGCATGTCGAACATTCCACTGCGTCTACCGCCTCGTATAATGGACTGTTCGGTTGGTGTGCAGATGCGATCGAGCGTGGCCAAGTTCGCGAACTTCAAGTGCGAATTCGAGATGTGAAACGCCCAAGCTCATGCGATCATCTATCCTGCTGCCATCTTTCCGGAGCGAGGACTCAAAGACAACAAACTAACAATACAGCAACGTAAGGGATACAGAATTAGCGTGGAATCCCGGAGGGGATATCATAAATTGAAGCCCGCCCAGTGGGCGTGCTCACGGGGGTTGGATTAGTTTTCAACTAGCAATCACGATGCATCAGCATAAGCTTCACACACTATCGTATTGCCCCAAGCGCAAAGATATTCTAAGATAGAAATCCTGCCTTCATAGCTGCGTTTCATGTGCGCCTCACCACGTGCATATTTCTCTCCTGCAGATCTTTGTACTACCCAAGGGAATTCCGAAAGCCTAAAATAGGCCGCGGTGTTTTGTGACCCTCTGGACGACCAACGACGCCGTGACCCTAGGCAGTACATCTAGTTTGGTGTAGTTCATGACCAGGCGTCACAACGCTGCTAATGCAAGGGATCCTTTTATTGCCCATGCAAATGTGCTCAGTTTGTAGTCGTTTTCGCTTTGCACCAAGCCGCCCGTCGCGTTGAAGTGTCATTTAAGATAGGCGTCGGATGCAGAGAGTTGGCAGGCAACCTATCAGACCGCTTCGAGGTCAATGATTGACCAACGTGCTCTCAGTTGATTCGATTGTAATCCATGAGAAGGGGTTCATAATAGTTATGTACCCCGGTTAATAAGAGGCCTCCAGCGACGGCGTTGAGACTCGCGTGATATACTCTACGCGCGGGCCGCGCCGCAACTTGTCTTGGGCTGCATAAGCGGCCAGCGGCGTGGCGGCACGTACAGCACCACTATAGCCTATTGGCGCTCGATTCCGTTCTACACTTTGTGCCAAGCCATTGCCAACGCTGTACCATCACAGCACGTCGGGCGGCGCTTAGGACCTACGTACATCGTCACTGGCAGCGTTCTTGGATAGACTACCGAAGGGCAGCTTGAAGCGTGCTTGGTAGTGCACTGCGAACAGGCTCGCACGGTCCTCCTGCCTCTGATGTCGATGCAACCGTCGAAGTGCAAATCATGCATCAAAAGCAAGGGCGACGTGAGTGCCGTGCAAATGGCCGTTGCCAACGCCGGTGCGTCGACTACCGAATGGCACTCGAGGCGCTCGACCGACACGCGAGACTGCGTGAGCCACAACCGCAGTCATCGTGTCAGCGCTCGCTGCACGTGGCGCCTCGGTGGCGTCTTTGCGTCTTGGCTCTGCTGGAGGGCAGGGTTGCGCCGACCTATCTGGCAGTGGACCGGGCTCAGCGCGCCGCCGAGCGCGATGCCGTCGGTCTACTTCTTGATGCTGGCGACCGGCGCAGTCTCGTCGGGCGCAAAGAGGTCGATGGCCGGCGGCTTGGTCTTCTTGAGCGCCTCGACGCAGCCGTCGAGGTTCCGCTTGCGCATCTCGCAGAAGGCAGCGCGCGCTGCCTCTTCGTGCACCCGCTCGTCCCGCTGGACGTTTTAGATGTTCGTGCGCGTCCACGTGCTTGCAGATCCGCTTTGTTTGCAGCACGATCTGGAATGGAAGTATTGCATTGGCTAAATTCTAGATTCTTTCTAGCCAATCACAAGACTTGAATCACTCGTCGTAAATAGTGTGAGCTCCATTCAGCACAACGACGAGTAGCAGCCCACAGCCGCGCCAGCGCCACGCAGCAGCCGTGTATACATCTCCACACAATTTTTGAGCGACGTACAAGTCGTTTCCGACGCTGCACGTAGCGCAATCACGCGCAAATCCATTTGCCATTTTTCGAGGTGGTGGCAGAATTGCCCAAATACTTCACGTGACATCGCGGGGTTCCGAAGCTCCAAGGACCGTAAGACTGGCTGCCACAGTTGGCAATGGGTCTTGACCCGGTGTGCGACCAGTTTGTTGGTCGCCGTCGTTGCTTGGGCACTCACACCAAACTCGAACTGCTGAGCGTCGGTTTTCACGAAATACGACACGCAATTTCGGTTGAAAATGCGTCGAAGTCACGGAAACCGAGGACGCCGTCTCTATTTATTCGTGTTAGAGAGCGTGTTGCATGTGGCCGAGGGAGGCAAAGTGTGCACGATACCGCTGCGTGATGAGGCCTTGTATCCCGTACAGTATTTCAGTATAGCGAAAAAGCACACTATATCGAACAAGGTCGTAGCCGCGTCGGCTTGGTGTTCTTGAGCGCCTCGACGCGGCCGGCGAGGTTCCGCTTGCGCTTCTCGCGGAAGGCAGCGCGCGCTGCCTCTTCGTGCACCCGCTCGTCGCGCCGGACCTTTTGGATGTTCGCGCGCGTCCTTCTTGTACTTGCGGACCGCAGCCCACGCTCTATTGGCTCAATTTTGGATTCTTTTTAGCCAATCACAAGACTTGGTTCACGCACGACCTCGTCTTAAATAGTGTAAGCTCTATTCAGCACAGCGACGAGTAGCAGCTCACTGACGCGCCAGCGCCACGTAGCAGCCGTGTGTACCTTCCCACACACTTTTTGAATGACGTACATGTCGTTTCCGACGTTGCACGTAGCGCAATCACGCGCAAATCCATTATCCATTTTTCGAGATGGTGGCAGAATTGCCCAAATACTTCACGTGACATCGCGGGTTTCCAAAGCTCCAAGGACCGTGAAACTGGCTGACACAGTTGGCGATGCGTCTCGACCCGGTGTGCGACCAGCTTGTTGGTCGCCGTCGTTGCTTGGGCGCTCACACCAAACTCGAACTGCCGAGCGTCGGTTTTCACGAAATTCGACATGCGATTTCGGTTGAAAATGCGTCGAAATCGCGGAAACCGAGGACGCCGTCTCTTTTTGTTCATGTTATAAAGCGTGCTGCATGTGGCTAAGGGAGGCAAAGTGTGTGCGATACCGCTGCGTGATAAGGCCTCGTATCATGATACAGTATTTCGGTATAGCGAAAAAGCACACTATATTGAAATATTGTTGGCCGCTGTCATTTACTCTCGCTACAGAGCTCGCACGGCGACACCACATAGCATTTTGGACTCCCCAAAGTGTGTTCTAGCACTCTGGCAAGTATGGGCCATTTCATTTTCAAACTTCATTCTGGTCGATCCGCCGACGCCACAGCCAGCGTGCGCCCAAATATGGTTATTGATGGTTGTAAATGGCGAACGCCAATACTAATGACCAGCGCCGCCAGAAAGATAACGCCGAGGCTACTCGGACACCACTGACGCTGCTGTATTGTGCTCGAGGAGACTCCACC